CCCCACACACACACAGAGACATAAGCTGGAAAACATTTTGGAATCAAGTGCTCTTTTAAATTATATTATTATTAAGCCTTTGCAGTATTAGGTCTCTTATTTATTAACGTAGAAATGACAGTTTGTGAATCAAATTCACAAATTTCAGCTTGTTACAAATCATTTTATTTATACCATTTAAAGAATGTGGACTTGAGATTCTTGAAAGGATGTATTCTATATATTTTCTCATTCCATATGCTGTAACTATTTTTAATAAGAGGTACTACTTTTATATATGGAATTGGAAGAAAATTTGGGTTATTTATACTGTTTTGTATAAGATGTATCATGCTTTTTTGACAGGAAAAAAATTTTTTGATGAAACAATAAAATAAATTTTAAATATATGACTGCCTTTGTTTTTCCTCTTTCCTCACTCTGGCCATGCTCCATGTTCTTCGAGTTATATGTTTTGTTTTGTTTTGTTTTTTAAAGCAAGTAGAAATCAGGCATCTTCCATTTACGTTTGACCTTTAAAAAGCCATTCTATCTTTTAAAATACAGGTTTTTTTTTTTAAAGCTAAATGTTCTCAAAGCTTCTTTCTTGAAATTTACTTCCTGCATTAGACTTTGACCTACTACAGTTGTCTTCAAACTAATCACATGGTTTAGTTGTTTATATCTCAATAAATGCTGTTGCTTTATCCAAACATTGGCTTCCAGTTCACGTTTGGTCATTCTCCGTGCTTTTAAAATTTTTTTTTTTTTTCAACGTTTATTTATTTTTGGGACAGAGAGAGACAGAGCATGAACGGGGGAGGGGCAGAGAGAGAGGGAGACACAGAATCGGAAACAGGCTCCAGGCTCTGAGCCATCAGCCCAGAGCCCGACGCGGGGCTCGAACTCACGGACCGCGAGATCGTGACCTGGCTGAAGTCGGATGCTTAACCGACTGCGCCACCCAGGCGCCCCTCTCCGTGCTTTTAAAAGGGGTTATACCATCAGCCATTAACACCTGAGTTTTGCTTAATGCTTGAAGAACCTTTCAAAACCTGAAATTCCTTACATGGACATTTTCGTGACCTGCGGGGAGGGCAGCTGGCTGCACTCACACTCTCTTCAAAACCCACATAACTCCTTAACCTATCACTGTTGTGTGAAGAGAAGAGAAGCCCTGGCTGTTTCTTCCCTCTCGTTTTATCTATGAGTTGTTTGTGGGGAGATTCTTAAGTTTTTTTTATGATAAACCCAGCCTCCAATCCAGATGTTTGCTTCACAATGGCAAGTCAAATTGGGAAACAGATGACAACAATAACTGGCAGGAAGAAGCCGGTTATTATAAAGAAAGGAACAGTAACACCCTCACAGTAATCAGCCATTTTACACAGGAAAAATGGACACGCAAATTGCAAGCTGACTGGAAATGCTAAGTGATCCTGAATAAACTCAGTTTTGTTTTGGTCTTGAGAGACCCACAGTATTGCCAAGGCCCAAGTCACAGATGGAAGGTTGATAACCTTATTTTTAATTTACCATTGAAAACTATTTTACTAGAAGAAGTGCACACAGGTACTAAAATACGGGTTTTAAGAATTTTGCTTTATCTCAGGGGAAGATAGTAACACAGGTAAGATTTTTTTTTTTTTTTAATCTTTGATTCTCTGATAGGATTACTTTTCTAATGTGCAACCCATGCAGTGTTCAGAGCCCCCATTTCATCAGAAATCCACCCCTCCCGTTACAAAGGCACATATTTACTGTCCTTTCTCTAGGCATCTTGTGGGAAAAATAAATTACTAGGGCTTTCTTTTCGGTATGGCATATTTTTCAAATGACAACACATTTTTTTCTTCCCTTCAGGGAAACCAGGAACAACTGGTAACTGTCATGGAAGAACGGATGATGGAAGTTGAACAGAAATTGAAACTGGTGAAAAGGCTTCTTCAGGATAAAGTGAATCAGCTCAAAGAACAAGTGAGCCTCCCGGGTCCTCTCCACCCACCCACCCCACATTCCACTTTTAACTCCAGTTTTACATTCCTTTATTGCCATTAACGTGTTAATTTTTGTTGTCAAATAAAGGCAAATTCTACTACAAACGTATAGCAGGACTTAGGATTCACTGTCCCCCATACCACTCCAAAAATATGAAATCTGTATTCTACATTTTTCCAGAGCTCTCCTAATGCCTGTTTGTCCACAATTTTAAAAATGTACATTTGCTAAGACTCATCTGGACCTAATGCATTCCTAATGAAGTTCCGTGGCTCAAATTTAACTTTTGTAGATTTTTTTTATTTGCCCAAGACAGTAAACATTCTATTTAAATGACTAGAAAATTTATGTTGGTAAAAAATGGGGAGATAATAAATGGAATTTTAGCTTTGCTGTTTGCGACGGCTATGACGACTTCTAAAAGTCTTCTGGCTATATCTAGACCCCAAAAGGCTGTGCTCTGAATTAGAATAGGGACCCTGACCTGCTGGTGGCAGGTGTGGCCTGGGTTTAGAAAGTGTTTGTGTAACCACTGAAGAGACATGCAAAAAAGGACCACTCTATAGTAAAGATTTATAGCTACTTTGGAAACTGAGATTAAGACCTGGGGAGGTGGGGGCAGAAATCGTCCCACCTGGTTTTCTAGACACATAAAACTTAAGAATAATAATACCAAGAGAAGGTCTTAATGGAGAATTAGCAACTTTTCTTTTCCCAATATCTTAATCACAAAATGGAAAGAAAAAGTCTTACACAATAAGCATTTATTCAACCCTGTGATCATTCACTTATTCAAAACATAGTTACTACATGCCATGTCCTTTTCTCAGTGCTAGAGATATGACAGTGAACAAAATCCTGCCAATGGGGAGCGTAGTTCACATACAAGGTATTAAGCATTTGGCAAGGTGGTAATTTTAAACAAAGAAAATCCGATCCACTCTATTTTCAGCAGAGGGGAACACAGGGAAGAATACTTGATCTAACTCCATGGTTTAAAGAAAGTTTCCTGAAGGCCTCTTCAAGTATTGACAGCTGAGTAAGATTTGAACAGGTGAAGAAGTGTGAGAAGGGCATTCTAGGCTACGGGAACATCATGCAGTTACAACATGTGTGTGGACATCTACAAATATTTTGGCATTAACAGATCATAGTGTCCTGAGAGGAGTAGGAGAAGAAACAGGAGAAATAGGGAGGGGTGGGCAGTAGAGGGTCTTAGGATGAAGAGCCAGGAGTGTTTTGTAAACGGCAGGAAGGAAGGGAGAGAAGAAGGGATGAATGTTTCCTTAGAACAACTCAATAGAGTAGGTTAGTATGTTACACTTGCCCGTCATCTAGATTCCAGGCTTCAGGTGTTACCGTCTTTATCATTGCCCTTTGCAATGCTAATAAATTAGCCACTCTCCGTTGTTCTTTTTCCCCCTGAAACCTCTATACTTTTAGATGCCCTGGTTAAAACTGCCTGTAAAATGAGGTGTAATGAGGGAAGGGAGGGTTGGAATACATGTAATAGGAACCAAAATAAAATTATCGCAAGGCCACTGACAAGTTTTCCCATCCCTTGACTATATATTTTAACCATAAAAATTAAAGTCTATCTTCTGACAAGTTCTATGTAAAAGAGGAAGAGTTAAGGAAAAGAAGCTGCCCAGATCTTACCTCTGTATTATAATACATGAACCAATTTTTAAAATAATCAGTAGGTTATAGCTATGAATGGGAAGGAAACTCAAGCATCTGTTAAGAACAGAGTTAAAGTTCACACCCTAAACCTCAGAAGTTATGAAAGTATTTTGCTATTTTTAGAGAAAGAAAAAGCAGTAACACCTAATTTACTTCGGTGGGAAAACTTTCATTTTTTGAGCTTTCAAATATCAATCTGTTCTTTTATTAGTGGCTTCTACAAACTTTATGCAAAGAAACAGCTTGGAAAAAGTGGATGTGCTCTGCCTGTATCCCTGATGCCACGTCTGATGTTAAACCTGTATTGTTAAATAAAAGAATATAATATAAGTCATTTGCCTTTATGAACAACTGTCCTAATGTCAGACCTTAAACTTAAGACAGTTACAGAAATGGAGTCAAAATGTTTCTGGTTTCTGTTTCTAGCTGTGCAAGAATACTAAAGCAGATGCGATGGTGAAGGATTTGTATGTTGAAAATGCCCAGTTGTTGAGAGCTCTGGAAATGACTGAACAGCGACAAAAAACAGCAGAAAAGAAAAATTACCTCCTAGAAGAGAAGATTGCCAGCCTCAGTAATATAGTCAGGAATCTGGCACCAGCACCACTGACTTCTACACCTCCCTTGAGGTCATAGCCAAGCCAAAGGATACACTCATTTGTGCACTTTACTGAAATGGATGGAACATTTCAGTAGGTTCTCTCAACCTTGTTTTTTTTTTTTAAACCTTTACTGGTTTAAAGTTCAGCTCAACCTAAAACTGCCAGCAACAGAACTGTACTCTCCATTCACTGTAATTAGTTTTTCTAAAGAGACTCTAATGGAAGCTGCAAATAGTCACATATTTCACTGTTTAAATTATTCCCCAGTTTTGAATTTTAAAGACATACCCTGATAGCCACCAAAAAGGTGGGTATATGAACACAACGCAAGAATCTTAAAACCCCCAGTTGTGAATAAGTTAAAAGACAAAACAATATTACGTACAAATGTTTGTGTAAATTCCAGGTATTTTAAGTTTTAGGTCTGATGAGTTTGTTTTGATCTTTATTTGAAAACCAAATGTCTGTCTTCTTACACATTTAAATATGGAGAAGTCATTCTGTTTCCAATAATTTTGGCTCTTTAGTGAGAGACCCTGAGCTCAATAACCACGGAGGACAGAAGAGCCAGAGCCCATGTACTTGACCTTCTAACACCTATGGCAGTATTACCACTCCTGATGGATTATGGATACTAAAAACTGATTTACTCAACTGCACTGTTAACTAAGGTTAAAACTGTACTTGCTTTAAAAAACCCAACTTTCTTTAAGCATTTTTTTTCCTTCTGACAAGTTTCATTTGGGGAGCTTATCTTCTAAGAAATGGATAAAGCCACATTCTTATAGCATTTGAGCTATAAGGAAAGCACTGAACACAAACCACTTTCAACAGTTACTCTTAGAAGAGAGTTAAGCAAACCATGTGGTTTTCTCTCTCTCTAAAGTCTTGGAGTTCATCAACTTACTTTTAGGGTTGCTTCAAGAACTCAGGGAACAATATTTTAAATGGTCTTCCTGAAACACTGTAGGGCCTCTTTAAGAATCTGAAATGCATAAGCCATGTGACCTTATTTGTCTTAGATTTAGAGCCATAGGATTTTTAGTTTTACATTTTTACTGAATTTACTCTTTTGGGAAAAACATTGATTTTAGCATTAAAAACCTAACTTGAAGTTATTATTTGTTTAACAGAGGAATAGGAAGTATGGAAATTTTAACCTAACACCTCAAATCTGATCATAAGAATTTCTTAACTCTGATAAGCACTGGCATGCATTCTGAGGTGAAGGAGTGCCAAATAGGATTTTCCATTCAGTCGCAAGACCAGAACTTTCTAGAACAGTCAACATTTTAGAATAGGTAACTTTTATTTTCCCCAAGTAAAATCTTTGCTTCTAGCCCACTTCAGCTAGTCAGGCATTGGTGGAGGACTTACTATGTGTAAGACACTAACAAAGCTCATCTTAACTAGCTATTTGTTTTTGTAGGACAGCAATTAGATGAGAAAAATTCACTCTGATACATTCCTGGAAGGCCAAGCCCATCAATTTACAAGACAAATAACAGCAAAATCACATACTGCTTTATGGGCAGCAACAAAAGATGACGCAAACCGCCTAAGAGGTCATATAGAGTGAACAAAAAAAATCTTTGGGCACCTGGGTGGCTCAGTGGGTTAAGCATCCAACTCTTGATCTTGACTCAGGTCATGATCTCACAGTTCACGGGATGGAGCCCCTCGTGGGGCTCTGCCCTGACAGCATGGGCCTGCTTGGGATTCTTCCCCTCTCTCTGCCCTTCCCCGACTTGTGCGCGCAAGCACTCGTGCTCTAATAAACAAAAAAAATTTTTTAACAAAATTTGCATCAAGCAACTTTAGATAGGTTTGTGGCCTAACCATCTATTATTAGTCCCACCTGACAGCCTACTGCCAGCACCGGAGTCCTCACTACCAGAGCTCTGACAAGGCATGGCCATTTGTGGGACTGGAATTGACATTCATGAAACAGACCTTTTCATGTCTGGACAGCTCTTATCAGAAAGTCATGAATACCCCCCTGGAAAAATAACCAATTTTAATTCTTCCCTTTAGTTATCCTTCAAAACATTTGATGTCTGCTATCACGCCTTCCTTAATCTTTCTTCCCCAGTACAGACATTACTAGTAACCCCAACTACTTGTATGGCATAGGCTTTAACAGAGAATCTTTTTCACTTAAAACTGTGGATAGACCTAGGCTACTAAGGTCATAAATAAACTATGCATCTGTGGTATATTTATGTAATATGATTCAAGTTAAGGTTATTGCTATCAAAACTGAACAAGCAAATTACTCAAATTACTGGCTTTAGCATATGATCACATGTGTTGTATTTTTTACATTATGAAAAGCATAGGTTAATTTCTCTTCAATGTGTATTTACATGTATATAAAATGCTGTACAATGCATGTAAATAGGACTTTCTGGAAAGTTTTAGAAAACATTCAGAATCCCCTTTATCCAAAAATCAAAATGCTGCTCAAATGAAAGTTGACTCAGTCAATATCTAGGTGCTTATTCATTTCTTGCTTTACTGCACTTATAAAATTGCAAGACCAACATGAGAAATAGTTACCTTAAATTTTCACATTTGTGCAGTTTATTTTTGTAGACTAGAGTGGGAATTTAGCTGGCAATTTATAATAGCACGTTATTTTATAGGCATTTAGCCACTTGTTTATTAAAAGCACTGGTTAAACTTTCTTTGTATTTCTGAACAGTTATTTATGTTAGTTTCAGAAGATGGGATCTTCATTTCAAGGAAAGAAAATCAGGTTTGCCTTTGTGATATGTTAACTGAGACGAAAATGTGTGTAACAAAGCCTACATTGTTCTATTTTTGCTTTCTTATGCTTCTTAGAGCCTGAACTCTTAAGCTCAAATTGTGAGGGGAGAAAAGTAGAGAGGGAGGGGTAGAACTGATCACAGTATTTTATTTTTCTAAAACTCTTTTAAAACCCAGATTTTAAAAACTATTTTAAATGTGAATCCTTCCCAGGAGCTTCAAATGCATTGCTTATGTATTTAATCTCAAGCATATTTTACATAAATAGATCACTAAATCATGAGTTTTTAGGGTATCAAAGGAGGTCTTACAGGTCTAGTGTTTCAATAATGTACAAATACCCAGGTCAGGTATTGTTATGATGAACTTTTTTTTTTTCTGGAAGAATGAATAAAAAGTCTACTTTATGGTCAACTTTGACATGTAGGAATGATTTTTTGTGGGTTTTTTTCTTGAGTGAAGAAAAAAAAAAATGTGTTGTTTTTGTCAGCATCTTAAAAGGTATTCCCAATCCAGGCACGACTAAGTGCTTTGTAAGAGTATTGAGCAAGTCTTGTTTTGAATGGATTACCTATGACGACTCAGTGGAATGAGAGACAATTTCGGCCAAAAGCCAAGTCAAAACCTAATAACCAAAGTATTCCATATTTAAAACTTATTCTATCATGTTAGGGCCTATTTGAACATCTCATAGACTAAAACAGAAAACACTGCATGGCATATGGATAGCTGTTTAATAATAAAAGTTAGCTCTTTATTTCTCAGCTTTTTTGAATGATTTAACATTATGAGAAGACACTTTCACACCATGATTTAAGGGAACACTGGTTTTGTGGAGGAAAAAAAAGAGTTCATCAAAAGCCATCCACAGGATAACTTTTTGAAATAAAATTGTGTATGTGTTGATATCAACTTTGTATATTTCATCTTAGCCATTCTATCTTAGGAAGGTTTTAATGTGAGCTTAAGATGTAAATAAATAATTTTGCAAACATGGCTGTTTTGTATACATCCTGAACTTTTAAACAGTGTCCATGTGTTTACCATTGGTCCTTAGAGTAAAAGCATCAAAAATACTGCACTAAACACATTCTACAAATGCAGAGTCTCAGTACCCACTCCAGACCTAACACCATATTCTTCATATTCTGCATTTTAAGAAGATCTGAGCGTTGGGACTCCATTTCTGTCATAGAATTGAGGACTTCTGGACCAGCCAGGTTGGGGTCTCTGTACCCTGTAGTATGGTTCATAATTACTTCTAGAATCCTGACTTAACCTCAGGCGAGGCCCTACTTGAGATTGTGGGTGCTTCCGAAGTGGCTTGGTTTCACTTTTCCATCTTTATGGGTGACTCAAACTTTCTTAGTTGAGCTGCTCGTGACTGGTTAGATATATGCAAGTATAGTCATAAAAGTTAACCTGAACGAACATTGAGGCACTAGCTGAATACTGAAACGTAGAAGCAAAATGGTGGCCAAACCAGACCCATCTCACAAGCCTTGTTTTATTTACTTTTCAAGCTTTTACTTATTTGACAGAGCAAGAGCATGCAGGGGAGAAGACAGAGAAAGGGAGGGAGAATCACAAGCACGCTCCATGCCCAGTGCAGAGCCCAATGTGGGGCTTGATCTCACAATGGTGAGATCACAACCTGAGCTGAAATCAAAAGCTGGATGCTTAACCAGCTGAGTCACCCAGGTGCCCCTCAAAGCTTTCATATCAGCCACATACTGCCTTTATGAGGCAAGAGCTATTATTCTTTACAGATGAGTAAATTGAAACTTGTGACTTACTCAAGGTCACACAGCCAGCTAAATAGGGCACTCGGGACTTAAGGCCCAGATTTGTCTATATTAATATGTTGCAGCAACACTTGTATCAATTTCTACTTCCATCAAATGCATACTATAAAGAAAAATCTAAATCATTCCTGGTTTACTGTATGATCTGATGGGGGTATTTATACACACAAAAAAGTTAGGAAAAATGTATCCATGTAGCAGATGGTTACACTTTGTTGATAGATTCAATACTATGGGCACTAGGATAAGGAAGGTTAACATCTTCAGGTATTTAATTTTTTTTAATGTTTATTTTTGAGAGAAAGCACGAGCCAAGCAGGGGCAGAGAGAGGGGGACACAGCATCTGAAGCAGGCTCCAGGCTCTGAGTGGCCAGCGCAGAGCCTGACGTGGGGCTCAAACTCACAGGCTGTAAGAACATGACCTGAGCCGAAGTCAGACACTTAACAGACTGAGCCACCCAGGCGCCCCAACATCTTCAGGTATTTTAATGTAGACTGGGGAAGGTTCTTCACCTATTCTATTAAAGGTAATTGTGTATGTGCTTCATTGAGATTAGTGTAACCTGTTTGCAGTCTCGTTCATCTTGCATTCAAAAAGTCATGTTTTCTGATATTTACTTGGTGTCCAATAAAATGGTTAGATTTTAGTCAAAGGATCAGAATTTTAACCTAAATTATATAAATTATCTGTTGATTAAAAAGTTAAATTTAAATTAGATAAAATATGACATAAGTCACAAAAGTGGTTTTTATTTAGTGTTTGGTTTTTGCCTCATTTATAAATCCGGGAAAATAACTAATTTAAACAAGTGAACATCTTTAAAAAAAAAAATTAAAACTCCACAAAGGCAAACCATAAAACTGAAACAGTGAAATGCCAACTAAAGAGTAGTCAACTATTGCGGGGTGGTGCCTGGGTGGCCCAGTTAAGCATCTCACCAGCGCAGGTCATGATCTCAAGGTTCGTGGGTTCGAGCCCCAGGTCGGGCTCTGTGCTGACAG